TGCTTGGGGAAAATCTCTGCTTCATTACCACGAGCGTGCAGTGTTCTCTTCACATTGAGGGAGAGGCGGACCAGGTGTTAAACCCATATACTGGCCAGATTTGACATGGGCAGGATGGTACTGCTCTGGGGTCCTAAGCTGGGAAGCTGGTGGTTAGAGAGCCTGCATGTAACTGCAGCTGGGTGTGTCCCTACCTGTGCGAATGCTGGTGAACGGGCAGGCTGGAGGGTCAAAGGGCTCAGTGGTAAGAACATAAGAATGGCTGTACTGGGTCAGACCAAAGGTCCATCTAGCCCAGTATCGTGTCTCCCGACAGTGGCCAGTGCCAGGTGCCCCAGAGGGAATGAACAGAACAGGGAATCAACTAGTGATCCATCCCCTGTCGCCCATTCCCAGCTTCTGGCAGTTCCAGGTGGCACCCCGGGGGGAACCTGTCACACTGTGCACCATTTAAGTCCTCAAAAAAAGCACATTAAGGGCCAGATTTTTACAGATATTTAGTCACCTAAAGATGCAGACAGGCCCGTTTGAAAATCCCACTAGGCACCTATCTGTATCTTTGGGTGCCTAAACACTTTTAAAAATCTAGTCCTAAGTGGTGTGCAGGCCCTGTGTTGGCCTTTTCTGCACAGGGCTGTATTTCACTGTCGGGCTTGATCCTACACCCTCTGATATCAAGGGAAGTTTTGTCATTTACTTCAAGGAGATTTGGCCTGGGCCTTGGATTAGGCATGTAATTGGGCCAATTGATATTTTATAGGGTTACCTTATTTAAACAATCAAAAAAGAAGATGGGAGAAGCCCTGCCCTAGCCCCGCCCCATCCTGCCCTAGCCCCGCCCCTGCCCCTTCCACTCCCTCCCACTTCCTGTCCCCCTCAGAACCCCCAACCCTCCCCCCACTACTTGTCCCCTGACTGCCCCCTCCTGGGACCCCTGCCCCTAACTGCCCCCCAGGACTCCACCCCCTACCTAAGCCTCCCTGCTCCTTGTCCCCTGACTGCCCCCTCCTGAGACCCCTGCCCCTAACTGCCCCCCAGGACTCCACCCCCTACCTAAGCCTCCCTGCTCCTTGTCCCCTGACTGCCCCCTCCTGAGACCCCTGCCCCTAACTGCCCCCCAGGACTCCACCCC